AATTTAATTTTCAGGATTATGTCCAAAATAAGGGTGGTCAAAAAAAATTAAAGGGTGGTCATTTGTGGTCAAAAAGTGGTCAAACGAATACAATATAAAAATTTGATTTTTATTCATTTGGCGTGAAAGTGTGAAGTTAGCCCCCGAATTTAATTTTCAGGATTATGTCCAAAATAAGGGTGGTCAAAAAAATTTAAAAGGTGGTCATTTGTGGTCAAAAAATGGTCAAACGAATGCAGTTTGAATTTTTGAATTTCCTCATTTTCGGGGGCTATCTTCGCATAGCTAAAGAGAAAGTCTTTTATGAGGACCGAGATGAGGTTGAAACTGCCAGACTCCATTGGCAGAAATTTTTTAGGTATTAAAGGACCATCTTCTCTGATATCTATCCCAAAATTTAATGTTATTCAAGGCTTTTCTACTGATTCTGTGCATGGAATTTATTTGGGTGTTGTAAAAAAATTGGAAAGTTTATGGTTTGACATAACGAGTTGCAGACAAGAGTATTATATTGGTAATAAATCACGAACCAAGGTAATTAACAAGCGAACGTCATCGTTCATAATGCCAAAACCTGGAGGGCGTACACCTCGACCAATAGAAAACAGAAAGAGTTATAATTTTTTACTGTACATATGTCTTCCATCAGTTACAGGACTGTTACCTGAGAAGTACTTTGAGCATGTCAGTCTTTTAGTTGGAGCAGTTTTTAAACTACTGAAAAAGTCTACATCTAAAGAAGAACTGGTGATCGTCGATAAATTCTTGGTAAGATTCGTTGTTGGCATGCAAGAGTTGTATGGTAAGGTGCATATGACTTTCAACGTACATTCTCTCCTTCATATAACGAGGAGTGTGTTGAACTGGGGTTCTATATGGATTAGATCTATGTTCGTCGATGAAGAAAAGAATTCTTTATTAAGGAAATGTTGTACAGGGCCCACTGGCATTCGAAGTCAAATAACTAGGAAATTTTTGCTTCAGCAGCAGTTTTCTTCTCCATCAATTCTTAAAAGCTGTAGCGAGCCAGTTGTATCATATGTGTCAGAGCTTCATGGTAATAAAAGACATGCCATTCAAAGTACAGTTAGTCCTGTGCTTTTGATTGGTAAACCATTGAAAAATATCCAAATATTTTTTTCAAACTGTGAAAACCTGACACTTTATCCGAAGATGATTTTTTGCAATTAAATATTTTCCATAGAAAATGTCAACTATTCAGAGTCATTAATTCATTCAAATGATGATAAAGTTGGAGATTGTCCATGATAATGTAAATAATGATGTTATAATATTATTTAAAGAGTACGTCAAGGTAGGTCTTGTTTCAAAAAATGTATGCTGTTTGTTTTTTACTAATAACCAAATAACTTATACCATAAAAGCTACAGAAATTGGTGGAAAATGTGTAAAAGTTGACAATGATGGTAATTTAATTTTTGTAAAAACAGTGAGTAATTTTGAATATATTACCTAAATTTATCTTTTAGTTTTACTATAACTATACTGCTTCTATAAATTCTATAACTATACTGCTATAACTATGCTTCTTTAAATTCACTTTTGTGGTTTGATATTTGATGTAATAGGGCAAAATCATTATCTCTATCTTAAATAGAGTGTTGATCATAAATATATGTACTTGTTTATACTGTAAAATTTTTAAGAAGTTACCATCCACATGCATAAGTTATTTTTTATTTACACTTGTGAGGTGTGGTGCATAGGGGGGAATAAAAGGCAATGGCTAGCTCACTTTTTATTTTATTTTAACCAACATGATTATAATTAAACACACAGCACATTCACAGACATAGCATATAAAACATATATGAAGAAGTAAAAAGTAAGGAGCTCTGCATGGCAGGTTGCATCGTTCGTCTATTACCACGCACTCTCTGAGTTTTTTTCTAGTTTCTTCTAGGAGGCGTTGCTAGTTCTAGTTTCTCCACAGACTCCCCCTGTGGCTCTGATGGCGCCTCGAGGAGGAACCAGTATATCTTTCCTGTGACGTCCCCTTCTTTTTACAGGAGCGACAGATCCTCCAGTGTCTCTTTTTACTTCGGGTTCCATATAAGATTTTAAAGATGACACGTGATAAGTTCCCAGAGTTTGGTCTGGACTGGCCGGGTCGGCAATCTCATAAGTTGTTGGGGATCGATTAGTTAGAACTACGTAAGGTCCTTCTCTTCTGGGCATAAATTTTCTACTTTTCTTATTTTTACTAATTGGGTGGATGTTTACCCAAACTTTGTCACCAGGTTTGAAGTATAGTGATCGTTGACGACGATCAAAATTTGCTTTCTGTTGATCCTGTTTGCATTCGACTCGTTCTTTCATCCGAGCTGTTAGACGATCAAACCTTTTTAGATATGGTGTTATCTCAGGCACAAAGTTGTGACGGGTACGGCCCCTAGCTGGACCTTCGTATACTTCCATTTCTCTCTTGCAACGGTCCTGTTTTGAATTTCTGACAATCACATAATAATTGCATTGACCTAGTGAGCGAATATTATTTTATTTACTTTCAAATTCACCATGAAGCGTATTTCGGGTCAGGTAGGTAAGGGGATTATGGTCTGACACAATTTGTACTTTGGAATCAAAAGTCCAAGTATCAAACTTTTTCAAAGCTTCGATGACACAAAACGCTTCCCTCTCAATAGTTGACCATCGTTGTTGGCAAAGATTTAGTTTTTCTTTTCCTTGTTCAGTATTTTGAACTATACTCGCTTGTAGTGGCTATTTAAGGTGATTAAATAGATTTGCAACATTTATTGTGAAACTGAGAATTAATTGTCTATGATTCTTCAATAGATAATTTAGATTAATCCTAACCCTAGTTCGGTCTGATTAGGACTGAAGTAATGTGACCAAGAATCCAGAGGAGAGAACTTATATTCATTAAATAAAAAGTACATTTTATTCAGTTTTAAATTAAATGCATATTATTAGAATAAAAATTACGGGATTAGAAATTATTAATTTCTATGAATTATAAGGATATTTAAAAGGGGGTATTTTAAATTAAGTGTGGTAATGAGGAGGAGGCCTAGCAAATCAACAAGAGAAAACACTAATTAAGAACACTCTCACCATACATCACGAGAGGGGGGTACTTTCCTTCACGTCTCACAGTGGGCCAGCATCCAAGGTTTTGTGCCAAAATTAGTATTTCGATAAAATTTGTTTTAAAATTTGTATTTAGGGGTTTTTATGTGCAGGTTAATTGAATTCATAGTTGAAATTTTGAAATACACTATAAATACCCGAAAAACAAACAAAAGGGAGGCTGAAATATGGCGAGCAAAAATAAAAAAATAATATTGAACCTTTAAATAATTAAATATAGCAGTGGAAATATAATAATTTTCGTAATTTTATATTAAAAATGAAAAGCATATTATATTTTCGAATAATATCTATAATAACAATCGCTTAAAACAATTAATTTTTTATTAATATATAAAAAATATAACTTAAAATTAGTAAAACAATGTTCGGTCATAAAAATTAAGCAACATAATCGAGAAATTATTTATTCGTTGATTGTTTGACATAAGAAATGAATTATTTCACTGTTTTTGCTATCAAAAATATAAAAAAATTTGATTATAATGCGATATTTAAGTAACCAACATTCAATCTCCGTCATCTTCGTCTTCAGAAGCTGTTAACTCCATATTATCTGTCCAATTTTCTACTCCATCTTCATCTAGCAATTCTGTATCGCAATTTGTTTGTGGAATTTTAGGCAAATCCAATACAGCTATCACCCCAGGAGAAAAAATTTCCTTTTTTTGCTTTGAAACTCGCTCCTGCAAATCCATACTCGATAAAATGGGGTCTGAACAATCCATTGCACGATTAAAAATATCTTGTAGTGTTGCACGACGACGACATTGTCTACTATGATGTGCTCTGAAACTTTTGTAGTTTTTCTTATTTCCCTCTGAGGTTTCTTCTGCTAATGCACCTATTGGCAATGTACATGATCGAATGACTTCACTAATGTGAATCAAAATTTTGTGCAATGTAGCTGACATTGGAAACCAGGGATATAAAAAAACATAAAGCTTAGCAGTTGCTAAACAATATCGTTCAAAGGAATCTGGATTAATGGGTAAATGACAAGATAGAGACACTAAAATGTTTTTCAAATGGCACAATAATTTCTTATTGATATCGAGACAAGCAGCAAGTTCTTCAGGATCATGAAATGCTTTGCGAGCGGTATTGCCATCGTTTGTGTTCCCAAAACCACCAACTTTGGGTTTGTCGACTTTCAAGCCCAGATTTTCCCACAGAATTCGCTGGATGTCTATCTTCCTATGTGCAAATAACTTTTTATCAACACCAGATCTGACTTGCCATTTTTTAAATTGAATTTCTGATCCAAGCATGTAGAGGACTTAATCCATGTTGCAATGATGATGAACTCGTAAAAAACTTGTCAGTATTAATGTTGGATAGATCATTAAAAGATTTTGGGGTAGCATGACAAAGCGGACAAGATTGCATGGATTTTGTGTTTGTTATTATATTCAAGACCTTGCCATCAATCAAAGTTAAATATAATTTAAAATGCACATGAACAATTTTGTCTTCCAAAGAAATCGTACATTGATCGAAATTCCTTATTTGTTCTTCAAAAGCGATCTTGTTTTGCAGAATAACTTCTTTAGATTCTTTAATAAACTGAAGCTTAATGGGACGACAAAATCTTGTGGATTGAGGTGTTCTATTATACCATAATATCTCACCATTTTGGTTTGATAGTTGAAGAGGAATTAAAGTAGTTACGGATACTAAAATAATAATAAAACTTCTGTTTCTGCTGTATTTGCTGTTTTCATGAGTTGAAGAATCACTTCTGACTGATAACTACAAATTCTGCTTACGGTGTGGTTTAATAAACCTTGAAGTAATACTTCTGCAACTGTCTCAGTTATAATGATTGAACTTGATGGTGGTCTACAAATAGTTTTAGTTTCTCTGACAATATTATAAGCAGGCCATATATCAGCCCCACTTTTTATGCTGGCTAATCTCATATTTGTATACTGAGCTTTAGAAAGTGAATTGTTTAATAAAAAAAGTAAAGCTTCTTCAGGTGTTTTTTTTTTACTATTAAATTCCTGGGCTCATCAAACATTTTCCTTGTTTTTGCTGACTGTTCTCGATCTTTTACAATTTTGTCTACAAATTTCACCATATCTTTATCTCCCGATTCTTTAGCAGCGTAGCGACACACTTGTAATAATTTATTTGGATCATTTTTAAGTTCTAAACTTACTGTAGCAATTTCTGGCCTCTTCGAACGTTCCGATTTTTCATAAAATTCGAGACTTGGTCTTCCTGGACGTTTTTTCTCGGAAGAAGTAGACGTTAAATCTTTAATCTTGATTCTCAAACTTCCAACTTTAAAAGCAGATTGCAACCAATTCGAATTTTGTTTGAGAAATCTGTCCTTCATCCGATTTGATGCATCCCATTTTTGTTTGAATTTGCATAACAATGTATTCACAGAATTCGTTAATCTACTTAAGTCATCAGACTCTACCATCTTTATATCTACATTTCTTTTTTCCATAATATAGTTCAATACTAAATTTGTGCATTGTGACACATAACCGAATCTTCCGTGGACTAAATCAACCAATTCTTGTTTTAAAATTTTAACCTCCAAGTCCGAGTTCATGTTTGTTTAGATCTACCAATGGAAATATTGCATCATTTCTATGCATTTCACCTGTATCTCACCTGTGAAACGTATTTATTCAATACATTCATATACGATAAATTATAAATGATGCTAAATCCGAAAATTAATAATTAAATCCGAAATTTAATGAGTTATTTTCACTATAAACATAACATAGTTCGTTTAGAAAAATCGATATCCTCCATTGCATTATCATAAGATATTAAGGAATTGAAAAACAGCGCCATCTATAAAAAAAAAATTGAAACCATTGCGTAAAACAAATATTTCAGACAGTAGGATGCAATTTTCACAATAAATAAACTTCATTTAGAACAATAATAATATTTTATATGAATATCTATACAAAATAACGCAAAAAAATGAAAAAAAGAAAATTTTTGTTTTTCGGTATATTTAGTCCACCTTCGCAATATGGGCAAAATGGGGCAGGTTTTTTCGAAAGAAGACAACAAAAAAAAATTTAGCTAATTATCTCGTGGAACTTTTTGGAGATAAGTTTTGAAAGTGAGTCAAACATTGTAAAATGTCAAATGATAAAATATAAACTATAAGTTTGTCAAGAGTATCAACAAATTGAAAAATTGCACTGTATTTTCAGACTAATTACTCTGATAAAAATGTAACAGAAAGGTGAAATTTATATATATATACTTCTGAAATATAAATTTAAAAGTTATATTAAAAAAAAATTTCAAACATATTTTTCACTACATTGCACTCTCGTCGGCCCAAAAAGTAAACTAAAATGTTTGGAATGATTATGAATACTTAATTTGGGCGATATTAAAGCTGACTAAACATGTTTTAGTTGAAATTTAATTTTTGACTTTTGGCCAAAATTCAAGGTCTTCTGGCCTACTGTGCGTCTTCCTTTTTCTACATCAAGTTAGCCACCTTCCGCATTCTTCCCTCTTTTTCCATCTTGTTCGCCTTTAGAAAACCTCGGTCCCCTTTTTATTGGTCGGGTCCCTTCTCCAACGAGGGTGCTACCTTGATCCCCACCCGCAGATCATTAGTCCAAAAACCTTAAAAGAAATAAAGAACGACAGGGCCACGATTGCTCTTGTCGCCCGACTATGACTCGGTACAACGATTTGTTTGACTAACTCTTTATTAACATCAATTTTTCCTAAATGCATTCATAACCCTGACTCATCTATATAGAATCTTTCCGTATTTTGTTTAATAGGCAATTTCCCACTGATTATTCCTTTTTTAAATTTAATTATTTCTTTGTCTTCCAAGGACTCTTTAAGTAATATTGACCTATGGATGATATTATCATTCTCTTTTTTTTCCTTCTAAAATCACAACTTGCCTTATAAGAGTTTCCTCTTCTTCATTCTGATTTCCAGGCAACTCTTTTGTTATACTCTTAGGGGTCCGCGCTTTCTTATTCTCCTGTTTCATACCCTGCTCCTTTTGACTCTCCTCGTCATTTGACTGATTATTATCCCTATTAAAGCTGTGGTGATATAGAAAAATTAAAGTTTATGGTGTTGAAGTAGAATATAATTAATGAACAATGAGAAAATCATTAAATAAAACTTAATCAAATTAGCCGTATTAATAGAATTATACACTGCTGGACAATTGCTAAGGACGGATCACAAATTGCATTGTAGCATAACATTAAGCGAGACATGAGGCCTAGTAGGATAAAAAATAGTTGCCACACTGTTCAGACATTAGAATAAAGAATATTTATTGTTCTGGAAAGTACAAAAGCTATGAAACATCTGAAAGAAAAAAAATGTTCATTTGATGCTGCGTACGGAATAATGGAACAATGCATTTAAATGTCAGCAGGCAACTTGAAGAAAGGTGTCAGTACGGGATATGTCCACCGTGGAGTGTGATGCAACATTCTACAGGTCGTATCATACTTCGCACAACATTATCCAGCAGCTGTTGAGGCAATTTATCCCATTCCTCTGTCAGTGCACGGATGAGGGTGTTCTTGTTTGTCGGAGGATAGTTTCAACCAGCAAATTGCCTCCCCAAAGCATCTCAAACATTTTCAATGTGGTTTAGATCTAGAGAACGTGATGGCCATACGAGGCGTTGAATACCCTCACTGTCTAAACAATTCTGAACAGCGAGTGTTCGATGACATGTTGCGTTGTCGCCCATAAAAACAAATTTATCACCGACAGCACCACGGAAAAGACGAACATGAGGAAGTAGAACTT